GAAGCGTTTAGAAAAACTTCATAGCTCTTATTTTGCAAGAAAATGAAGTTAGAAACGTATGTCAGTTTGTTTGGACTGATGTCTAATTATGTCCAACAGCGACTCTATATCAAAAACGACGGTTAAACGTGGCATATCGTAATACAAAGAAACGGTAGGTGCAATTTTTTGCCTTTGCATTTAATTAATTATACTGTAGGGCTATCTTCAATGTATAATATCTAATGCTTTTCATAATTAAGGCCAGAAAAGAAATTAATATAATCTATGAATAAAAATGACGTAAATTTCTTTGTTTTCTGTAACAACCGTTCATTACCAGGATTTCAATGTCTGTAAGGGCTCTAAAAAGTAAGGCAAAGTAAGTAGAGTCGTTGAAGTAAGGAAAGTCGACTGAGTGAAACTATAAATAGACGAAATTCGAACATTTACAAACTCATAACAGTTCCACTATTTTTCAAGAAGAATTCCTATATTCCTATATCAGCTGATTCATTATCGTGCCATATGTTCTACTATAGTATAGCTTTCATCATACCCAGTACTGTAGCATATATTCACTATGAAGTGAATCACATGACAATTAATTATCTCACAGCAGAAATGATAGAGTTGTGTGAAATATATACCCATTTTGTGACACTAATTATATAACTAAATCGAATATCCGACAACTAACTTCAGATGTGTGATCTACAATTCCTGCACTTTCGAATCATCTTCTTCGCAAACCTGTACGATTGGAAATAACTGAGAACGACTTGCTGACTCGAACGAGAAAACACAGTATGGAAAGAAAGAAGAATTTTTCTGAGTGAAAAGCAATAAGTCTCCTTGAGTTTCACTCAGTCGACTTAAATATGCACATGGAACGAAAGCTGGAAGTAATGAGAACTTTATATAAAATGAACAAAATGTTTATGCTATGCCGAATGCTGGTATTTTAAAAGAAGAAATTATACTTTTTTTGCGAATTGCGAATTAGTATTGCGTGCGAAGGTATCACCGCAACTCAATCAACATTTGCTTTTATTATTCTAAGCTTTTAAAGCAGCTTTACTGTTGTGCTTTGTACCACCCTAAGTGGTCGTAGTATGTTCAGAAATATTATCCCAAATCGAATGGAGTTTTGCAGATTAGTTTAGGGCTCTAGTCTGAAGGAAAAAAGATCCCTCCGCCACAGGATCCTTCTCTGATGGAGAACCCTGTTTTTATCACTTGGGAACTTTCAGAAGCGTTTAGAAAAACTTCATAGCTCTTATTTTGCAAGAAAATGAAGTTAGAAACGTATGTCAGATTGCGTGGACTAATGTCTAATTATGTCCAACAGCGACTCTATATTAAAAAAGAAGATTAAACGTGGCATATCGTAATTCAAAGAAACGGTAGGTGCAATTTTATGCCTTTGCATTTAATTAATTATACTGTAGGGCTATCTTCAATGTATAATATCTAATGCTTTTCATAATTAAGGCCGGAAAAAAATTAATATAATCTATGAATAAAAATGACATAAATCTCTTTATTTTCTGTAACAATCGTTCATTACCAGGATCTAAAAGTTGTTGTTCAATCTAGCAGTATTGGATGGGCGCATCACCATCTTATTTCAATTATCTGTCGGGCCAGGTCAATCTTTATGGCGGAATCTCGTTGTTATTCATCGGCACCGTAGGAACTTTGCTCAATGTGTTTATTTTTACCAGACGAGGTTTGAGACACAATCCCTGTGTTGCTTACTTTTTATCATCGAGCATTGCTGATGTATTTGAATTGTATTCTGGTCTCTTGGTTCGTTGTCTCAACGGATTTGGTGTTGATCCAACACTGCTGCACCCTGTAGCCTGTAAAATACGATTTTTTATTGTGGCTGTGGCTGATGTGGCACATTTATGGTTCCTTGTTCTAGCTTGTGCCGACCGATACGCATCAACATGTTCCAGCGTTTCAATCAGAAATCTTAGTAATTTAAGAAATGTGTACTATTGCATTGCTGCAGTGTTAGTCTTTGGGTGTTTGACATATGGTCAAGTATTTTACTGTTTTGATGCAAATCAAGTTCAAGCCCCGGTATTGTGTTATGCCAAAAACTATCAATGTCTGCTGGTGGACAGTATCCTGTTCCTGTTGCTTCGCTGTCTCCTGCCACTCATATTTATGATTAGTTTTGGCCTGTTAACAATGAATAATATGAAAAACAGCCGTCGACGAACGGTTCCTGCCTCTGAAGCTTCAATGGCGAACACTACCACTAAACCACCGAAAGTGCATCGACGTGATTTACAGATAATTACTATGCTGCTAGTTCAAGTACGTAAAAGAACAGAGGCTTCCTTACAATGTAGTAGTAGAAACAGTGAAAGTTCCATCTACTACACTTTGGAACTCTAAATGAGTTGCGGTGGATGCTTTCATACGCTTCGACTCAAATTTGCATGGTCAAACTGCACTACTTTCATAAAAAAATCACGCGATAAGGGCAGGAGCATGCTGAAAACCCAGTGGAAAAAACAAAACCTATTGAAATGCATACTGTTTTAAAATAGATCTCTATAATACATTAATGTACAAACACACACCACTCCATGAGCTAAAATGCTACCCATACATCAATTGTTTTAATAGCTCATACCAACACAGGGATTGTGTCTCAAACCTCGTCTGGTAAAAATAAACACATTGAGCAAAGTTCCTACGGTGCCGATGAATAACAACGAGATTTATGTTAAAAATGACGTAATTTAATGTTTATGGCGGAATCTCGTTGTTATTCATCGGCACCGTAGGAACTTTGCTCAATGTGTTTATTTTTACCAGACGAGGTTTGAGACACAATCCCTGTGTTGGTATGCCCAGGCAGACATTTTTTTAGACCAAACGCACTGCTAAACGCGTTTTTTTGTACTAAAAACGAGTCTGAACGCGTTTTCTTACAAATGAAACGCGTTTGGACGCGTTAATTGGTGATAAATGCGTTTAAATGCGTTTAAAAACTTTCCAAAACAATTACTTCTGATTTTAGAAGAAATATAAATTCAAATATATAATCTCGCGCCAATACTACGGCTCAGAAAACAACTCGACATCACTAACAAAGGAGTAGAAAAATATAATCCTGCGTTTCAGTGATTATAGACTACATCATTTTGGTACTTTTTTGATTTTCGCGCCTGCCAATTCAGACTATGTCAGTTCTAAAAGTTCTTCGAAGTGCACAATCTTTCAATATTGTGTTGCGCATCACCTTTCATCTCCTCACTAATTCCCAAAGATTTTTCATAGGGTTGTTTTAGTTTCTATCTTCCTTAACTTGTGAACCTTGACAATAAGATAGCTGTGGACGACCGTGTGAGAGCACGAAGACTCTCTGTACACGTCAGCTCGATTCTGAATTTAATTTTTAATTTTTTTAAATTTAAAAGTTTAACGCGTTTAAACGCATTGGAAACTAACGCGTTTAGCAGGATGTTTTTTGTCACATTTAGGGCGTTCAAACGCGTTAAATTATAACGCGCTCTAACGCGTTGATTATCGACCCTGTGAAACGCGTTGATCAGTAACGCGTTTGAACGTCCGAAATGTGACAAAAAACATCCTGGTAAACGCGTTAGTTTCTATGAAACTTTAAACGCACTCTAACGCGTTTTTTTCGCAGAAAAAGTTTGCCTGGGTGAGCTATTAAAACAATTGATGTATGGGTAGCATTTTAACTCATGGAGTGGTGTGTGTTTGTACACAGTAGTTGCATCTGTACCTCCGCCGTTAGTGCAAGTCATTTTCTAAAACTCAATATAGATTTCAACACAGCTCGAAATGCTCTATAAGAAAATTAGCATCGTGAATTGTTGCAGGCATGATGTTGTTTAAAGTGGGCGGAGCTGCTTGAAGGTGCCCTTGTGCAAAAGCTTCCGGTCGTTCCTGGTCTAAGTGGTATGGGAAAGTGGGTTTGTGTAGACCTAGATTCATGATAGAAGAAGGTTCGATAAGTGGATTTTTCAATATAGTATATAAGCGTAGTGAACGTATCTGCTCCGAGGTTCCTCCGAATCTGTTTGGTGTAAGCCTGGGCTGAACTACATAAAAGCATTGCATTAACAGTGTTTGTTGTATTCTTTCAGGTATTAACTGTCACCATATGTATACTGCCGATATCATTAAGCAAACTTTACCAAACACTGACAATCTCAATAACAACAAAATCGCCCATGAGATTAGCTATTGAAGGTTTCATCTTTCAATTTACAATTATCGTATCATATACCAATAACAGTATCGTATTTTTCATTTATACATTAAGTGGTAAAATATTTCGACAAGAATTGCTGAGAGTTCTTGAACGACAATCAATCATCACACCTTCGATGCAGAAAACAACAACCACAAGAATGAGAATACAACATATTCAATGATTACAACTGCGTTTTCACGAAAAAATGCTCACATAAAACTTAATATGACGCTTGCGTAGATGTATGAATGTATTTAGTTTTCCGTACCTTTCTTCTGAACATTTATCTAAGAGAAAATTAAAAAGATATGTTGTGCCAGTGAGATTGGAAGTGGTACACTTTTCTTTCCCCTCGTTTCATATTTGTATTCTTTCCATTCAGGTTGCACTATCACTCGGTCGTGTTCAGAATTGATTTTTCTATCTAAAGTATGTCAAAATAAAAAATTAAAACACGGTTCTGTATTTTTTCCAGGTCAAAACCTGAAAAAACGGCGAAAATACCGTTTTTCGGACACTTCGATCTAATATTATGGGAAAACAAAGTTTTGATTCCATGAGTGAAATACGTGGCTCGACTCAGTTTTTTACGCTCTTTCCGAATATGGCCTCAAAATCAGAAAAAAAGTTGCCGAACATGGTAAAAACTGAAAGTACGTACATATGTTAGGGAAACATCCGTATAATCGAAACCTCCAATACGTCGACTTTGAGCGCCAATTGTTTTCTTTTTATGTTTAGTCACTTTTTTTTGAAAAATGTGCACGACGTGATCTAGCGAGCTACGCTACGTAGAAAAATTGTGAAAACGGGAAAATAATCTCCCGATATTGGAGATTGATCAATGCACGTTCTTTTTTCAAAGCAAAGTCCAGATTCAGCGCCATAAGGTACACAAGTGGAAGAAAAATGTGTTTTGGACTT